GCTCTTGGAGTGCGCACACATGCGCTTGAGTGAGTCGAACAAGTCCTTCCCCGTGATACCCTCGCAGGCCTCAACCACGAAGGTGTTGCATCCCCGGGCTATGTAAAGATCAAGTTCCTCGTCCCGACCGATCCCTGCCCTGGTGCCCCGGGCCTTCTTGTCGCCCTCGGTGGCCCGCGCCTGCCGCTCGGCGGCGAGGACGTGGCGTTCAGTGAGGCGGTTCTGGCGATCCAGGCGCTCGATGATCTGGGCTTCGGCCTCGACTGTAAGCCCGCCCAGGGCGCCCGCCGCCCCGGCGTCGTCTGGGCCCCCAGCTCGCTCCCCACCCAGGCCGCCCCCGTGGGGCGTCTGGCCAGTGAGGTGGCCAAGGACCGAGGCCCCGTCGAGGAGCGGATTGGCCCCACGGGCGGCCCCCCCGCGTCCATCGCGTGCCAGCAGGTCCCGATCACCCAGCAAGCCCCGTCGTGGGCCCGTGGGTTGGATGGGGGGCATGGCACCGAAGAGCTCGCGTCGGGGTCCCTGCTTCGGGCTGGGATCCCGTCCCCGCGCCGAGCGACTCCGCGACCCCTCACGTGAGAGGCTCCCCTGCAGGGGAACCTTGTCGGCGGCCGCAGCACGCTCCCGCGCGCGCGCTTCCAGCTGCGCATCCTCCAAATCCGCGAGGGCGCGCTCTAGGTCGGACCCCAGTGGGCCCGCCGCTGCCACCTGTGCGACCCTCCGCCGCAGCTGCCGCTCCGCCTGATCAAGCGGAACCCCGAGCAGGTCCGCGGCCATACCTAATGCACTGAGAGCCGCCGCTTGGCCCCCCCGTCCTTTGAGATCCTCGGCTCGCAAGGAGTCCATGAACATTTCGAGCGGGTCGGGCTCCTCGGCATCCTCGCTCACGCCGGCGGCGGCCGCCGCTAAGCGCGACAGTGCCGCCACGGGGGCGGGACGGGGCAAGCCCTCCATCCCGGGCGCAGGCGGCGCCCCCTGCGCGCCACCCCGCCGATGGTGGCCGAGTGTGCGCACAGGGTCGTGCTGCAGCTGCTGGCGCTCCGTGTTCGTCAGGTAGCGCCGCCTCCAGCCGCTCGCGCTTTCCACGTCCACACCGTCCCACTGCTCCTGGCGTAACATCGCCAGCAGATCCTGCGGGATGTGGTGGGCGATGACACGCAACCCCACTTCCCGAGCCCCTTGGGGGACCTCGTACAGCAGCCGATTGATCCAATCTATCGGGTAGCGCCCGTCCTCCAGCGGGGGGGGGTGCCGTACGACCTCGCTGGCTGGGACCTCCACCCTGACGCCCTCGAGGCTAGTCCCGATGATAAGTCTGGCGTCCCCGCCAGTGCCCCGTACGTCGAGCCCCTCGCATTCTCCCAATAGAATAAACCAAGGACTCGCCGGGGGCGCGCCGTACGCCTCCTCGGCTCCCCGAGGGTCGCCCGGGAGTATCGGGCAGACCTTCACGAGTAGGGGCTCCTGAAGCCACCCGTGGTGGGCGATCCGATCGCCCGGGGCCCCGCGGTCGGCAGACCGTGAGCGTCCGCTGGCCCTTGCTTCCGCGGAGCGTGTGCGACGCGGCTGCGGCCCCGAGGTTAGGGCCTGCGCCCCCGTGGGCTCCACATCGACAGATGGGGCCACGACGGGCGGTGGCGGTGCAGCGGGGGGAGGTAGAGGCGGGGGGTAGACCGGCTCGGGCGCTATGCCAACCCCATCGGCAGCGTGCGCGGTCCAATCGCGCGCCCTGGCGGGGCTTGGAGCCCGCGCCCGCATGCGGCGGCGCAGGCCCCCGAGGATCCCAGGTTGGACCGTCGCCTCGACGCGCACGGTGTGACCCTCGTCCCGTCGGAGATGTTCCCCGCACATCGGGGCCCCCCCGCAGCTACCCTTCGCCATGCGGAGACAAGTGGGGAGGCTGCACTTGCGGCCGATCAGGGTAGACCGATACTTCTGCGCATGGTGGGCGCAGAGGTGCACCTGTGCATTGAGACAATGCCCCGGCCGAGGAACGTCCGACACCTCCGCGTCCTCCTGTAGCAGGACAGTGGCCTCCTGCATCCCTCGGTCGCCGCACCCCTCCGGCTGGAGGGGGCGTGCGCCACCCGCGAGCTGCGCCCCAACTTGTGCGGCTTGGCAGGGGCGCTCCTCCGCCTCCACCTCGCTCTCCGAGTCGATGTCCAGGCGGCGATAGCCCGTGGCGTCGGTGATGTAGCGGGGCTCCGGCCGGCCCCGGCACAGCCATCCGAGTACCGACCAGGGTGAGCAAAGCAGCCACTTGACGACCCCGAATACCTTCCGGAGTCCCACGCCGACTGCCGGCAGGCCGTGGCCCTTCCGTGCTCAGCCAAGTCCACGATCTGTGTGTGGTCAATGGCCGCGTACTGGTCGACGTGCATGGGATGCGCCACTGGACAGGAGGCGCACTCGACAGCACGACATAGATGCACATTCCCTGTCTCCTCGAGGTTCAGCCGCCACTTGCGACTGGTGCACCCCAGGACCTGCCCGATCTTGATGTTGAGCCCGTGGCGGTCCAATCGGTACCGGTCCGCGAAGTTGCAGCTGATGCGGGCCACCTGCCCGTGCTTACGCAGCAGCACGTGGTTGTACGCCCGATTGGTCCCTCGGCCGCGGACCCCCTTTGTGTAGAACTCTGTCTCCACCACGCCGCCCAAGCCCGGCCCGCGCCAGCGCACCAGCAAGGGGGTCGGAGGGGGTGGGGGAAGATGGGCGCCGGGCCCATCCCCTCCGCGTCGCTGGCAGCACCGGGTAATCTGGTACCACGCCCAGCGGAGTCCCCCGGCAGCCCACAGCATAGGCTGGGCTGCGGTGTTGACGATGAAGGCCAGGGCACCCAACACGAACGTGAAGATGCCTAGGGCAAAGCATAAGACCGCGGTCTCCCACCAATACCCAAGCATCTTAACGCCCAGGCGGTCGACGGCGGATCCAATCCATCCGCCACTCGTGCGGATCGTGCCCGGGTGGTCGGGGGAGCTTACCCACGCTCCATAGCCCACGACCTCGAAGACCCAGGCTGCGAAGCCCCAACCGGGACCCGGCCCTGCCTCCGGGGGCGGGGTAGGTGGCGGCGGCGGCGGTGGGGGTTCGCTCCGGCCAGCCCACCAATGGGGCAGGTGCGGGACCCAACCACTCCACCCCCAATACCCGTCCAGCCCACGCGGCAGGTCAGGCTCACCATCGCCCGTCCGGTTTCCCGGGGCGGACGGCTGCCCAGGCGCGCCCGTGGGCTCGTTGTTACCTCCGTATGCCGGCGTAGCTGGGCTGCCTGTGGGCTCGCCCTCGCCTACGCGCCCGATGCCCGCGGTCGTGGTCGTTGTGGTCGACCCTGACCGCGGCGGCGGTGGGACGCCCGGCGTCCCCGGGGGCTTGGCCTGCGGCCCTCGCCCCTTTCCCCCTGCAGGCGCGGGCTTGGCGGGCGGTCCTCGCCCCTTGCCTCGCCCCCCACCGCCTGCCGGCGGCGCTGTCGGCCCGGGCAGGGCTGGCGGCGTCGGCGCTGGGACCTCATGTCCCCCGCGCCCGAACGGCAGCCAGCCAAGTGCCCCTTGGACCGTAAGAGCGCCGCCCGTAACCAAGATCATCAGGTGCGCCCCCAGGAAGCCCACAGCCATGGCACCACAGGCGCGCTACCTAGTCCGCAGACTAGCACGGCTGTGGTTATGGCCGCCCCGCGGCCCCCTGGAACACCCGCGCGTCGGCCAGAGCCGAACGCTACGGACCCAAAATGGCTACCTGAGCCCACACCCCCTCCCACTTAACCTGCAGTCTACAACCAATCAGACTATACAAAACAAAACCCAATGCCCCAGGCTATTGTCAAACATTGTCAACACTTGCTAAAAAAATGTCTCCAGGCTATTTTTTGACTATTTTTGAAGATCCCTCCTGTAGAGGGACAGGCCCGACTTACGATCACTGCCGCTGACATCTATTGCGGCTGCAGCAATACAGCAATCATAACAGCTGGAGCTACAATTACATCTGCAGTTCGAACTGCGGCTACAACTACAACTACTGCTACAACACTATCAGCAACACCTACTACTGCTGCTACTGCTATATCTACTGCTATTGATCTTACTATTACTACTACTACGTCTGCGACATGTACTACTACTACTACTACTACTACTGCTGCTGCTGCTGCTGCTACTACTACTAATAATAGTACTATTACTTGTACGACTACTACTACTACTACTACTACTACTACTACTACTACTACTACTACTACTACTACTACTACTACTACTACTACTACTTTTACTACTTCTACTACTTGAACTACGACTACGACTACGGCTACGATTACTACTACAACTACGACAACAACAACAACTACTACTACTACTGCTACTACTAAACCTACTCCTAATGCTAGTACAGCGACTAAGATCAATAAGACGACGACACCCTCGACGACGACGACGACGACGACGACGACTACTACTGCTACTGCTACTGCTACTGCTACTGCTACTGCTACTACTGGTACTACTGGTACTACTGCTGCTGCTGCTGCTGCTGCTGCGGCTGCCACTCTTGCGGATACTACCACTACTATTACAACAACTGCTACTGCTACCTCTGCTACTACTACGACTGCCACTACTACTGCTACTACAGCGGCTACTGCCACTACTGCTGTTACCTGTTGCTAAAACTACTGCTACTTCGACTGCTGCTGCTACTGTTGATGCTATTTCTTTCTACTTCTCATGCTACTGCGTCTACTCTGGCTGCTACTTCCTATACGGCTTTATTCTGCGACTTCATTTACTACTGGTACACATGCCACTGCTATTATCACTACGAAGGCTTCTGCAACAACAAACAAATCGCCCATGCGGGCGAAAATCTTTAGCCGCTGTGTACAGACAGTGTTTCAATGTATGCTCTCCTTCCCCCCCCGCGACGCGTACTCACGCTTGCACATTTAAGTTTCTTAACCTCACTGTCTGGGGCCCGCTCTGGCCAACGTTTAAGGGTTTGGGCGCCTGCTGGTTGACAAACTTGGCCGCCACGATGCTGTCGAAGGAACTGGCCGCAACCCTCGCCTTGGCAAGTTCCGCCCCCAACGCCGACAGCTTAGTGTGCACAGGCACGAGAGCCTCGGACATCTCTGGGAAAGCTCTTGCGTCTTGCGTGGCCCGGTTGGCGAGCAGCCAAGCCGCACTGAGGCGCGTCTGGGCGTCGCGCTCGAGCTCGCCGAGCGTGCGAACCCCGTCTGCGATGGCGTCCTCGGCCAAGGTTTCCGCCTCGCCGGTGAGGAACGGCCGCGCGGCCTCTGCGACCTTGTTGACATCTGCTTCCAATCCCGCGGTTTCTTCCTCCACCTCCTGCACGCGAGCCGACCTCCTCCGCCCCTCCAGCTCGGACCAGAACTGGGTCAGAAGCTCCGCCGCCTCGGTGACGCGCTCGGCAAGCTTGGTCAGCTCCTCCTTCGCGGCCCTGGCGGCATCGGCCTTGAAGCCGCCGAGCTCGGCGAGCCTGGTGCGGAAACACTCCTGCGCCTGGGCGATCGCAACCTTCGCCGACTCCCCGACGGTGTCGCACAAGGTGATGGACTCCTCTGGCGGCGCGCGCTAGGGGGTAGGGAGACGGGTTTGGACGCCCGAAATGGGCACGGAAACAGTGGGCACAATGCCCAACAGCAAATGTTGCCCCGAACTAACAGCGGCCGCTGTTGGGCAGGCGGCCTTCTGTCTCAAATGGACACAGGCCGCGGCGGCGCGGACAGCGAGTCCCGTTCAAAATGAACATGAACTGCTGTTGGGCACTGTGCCCCTTTTTTCCGTGCCCATCTCGTTCGTGCAGAACGGGGGGGGGGCTCGTGGTGAGGAGGCTGCTTCTCAGAAGGCGCCGGCCCTGACACCTTCGGACAAGCCCCGCGCCTGCTAAGAAGGCAGGGTGAGAAGCCTTCCCCCCTCCCCCTCTCAGGGGGCCCGAGGACACACCAACAAATACACACACAAATACAACAGGATACCTCCTATTTTCCTGCGTTTTCGGGTTTTTTGTCTTCCCCCCCCACTTCCCATATTTTCCCATATTTTCTGGGATATCGACGATTCATTGTGTCTGTGGAGGAGGAGGAGGAGGAGGAGGAGGAGAATGAGAATGAGAATGCGCTATCACGGAGTGATCAAAAGAGACTACCTCGACGCCCTTGCTGCCTGCTGGGCTCGAGTCAAGGCCTTTGGCCACTCGCCACGATCGATTCGTCGAAGGTATTCCTTCCGAGAATTGGTGATCTGGCGGGGCTGACAAGGGCCCTGGAGACCTGGAGTATTGTGCTCACTACTATAGAAACCGCAACCGCTGCAGAACCATAAACCGATAATGCGATGGAAAACCATACGGTGTGTGTCATGCACCCAGCCCCCACCTATATGTAAGTGCTGACCGACAGGGAGGTGGAGAACATTAGCATTCCCAGGAGTGAGCATGAAACAGGGGGACCGACGCCACCGCTGTACAGTGGCGTCAGTGGCGGACCCCTGGCAGCGACGGCACCTCTTGCCGCACTCGTACAGAGCGTGGCCCGTCTCGAACGCAGTGACAATATTGACTGATGGCGGAGGAGGGGGAGGAGGAGGAGGAGGAGGCCCCGCCTGTGTCGAACTCCTCGAGGTGGGGGCCTTCGAAGCGGCTGCTGCGTTGAGGGCCTCCAGGCCCGCGCGGAGGAGTCGGCGTCTAAGAAAGAGGGCATCTTTTTCCACCGTCCAGATCCTCGATCGCAGTGCTTCGGGGAGTCGAGCGGACACCGCGGCCTCTCCAGCCAGAATATCCGCCACCGTATTGCCAATGGTGAGAAACAGTGGCACCTTTTTCATGAGTGCCTCTTCAGCCGTCATATGGGATGCAACCTGGAGAACAACAATCTGTGACGTGTCACGGTTCTGGTCCTGAAGTTGCTTCCTAATCGTGTCCCAGATCCCCTTGTTGTCTCCCGATGGCTCAAGATAATGACCAGAGTACCATCCGTCGGCGACAGCAGAGTTATCTGTAACATAGATAAGGGATCCCGTACTATAAGAAATAGCCAAAAGGAACCCATAGAGTTCCCCACGCGGTACAGTTTGTCTACGTCCAGGGAGAGCAACACACGGGGGGCTATAGGAGCTCATGGTGTTGACTGCGATGCCGATGCGACGAAACCGAGGTTCGCGAGCATCGGGCCCGCCACTGGCATCTCGGTATACAACCAGAGGTGCGTCTTCACAACCGTGGCCCAAAAATGATTCGTGCAACTGATCATCATTCGCCATGTTAGTGAACTGCCAGGCTGGTTCGTCCGAGGGGCGTGGGATTGCCGTCCAAGCCCTCGGGATCAAACCTCGTAGCCAGTAGCAAGCCTCACTCTCGTGCAGCGACTGTGCGCGAGGGGCCAAATAGTCGGAGTCGACGAAGGCCTTCGCTTCCTTATTACACCTGCAAGTCCAAAAACGGTGAAACGCCGTCTCGGCGCCGTCGTGGCACCGGTGGCAGGTAACATCTATCTTGGTCCTGGTCTCATCAACAACTCGCTGCCGTGGCCAAAACCCTCCTGTAGCTATATTAGTCATAACCTCAGCGAGCCTATGCCCGTTCTTGCACAAGCGGAGCCCCTGGATGAACTTACGGTAGCTGTAGTTGTCAACCCCGTCGGCCATCCCCTCCCCACAATAGTGCACGGATGCCTGAGACCAGCACCTAGTTTGAAATGCGGCTTCAAAATCATCGAGAATGTCTGAGTAGTCCTCGAAACCTGAGAGGTCAGCCTCCGAGAACTTCCACGTGAACTCAGGGGTGTCCCAGGTGTTAGGCGCCTGAGGGTCCCAACCAGCTTCGAGAAGATACCCAATGATGGCTGCAATGGGCCCACGGATCTGCCGAGAAATCTGAGTCGGAGCCATACTACGGAGCTGACCAACGATACGGGGCCAGACAACACGAACCATGGGACGAATATCAGGAGTACTGAACCAAACCGACAGCCATAATCGTAGCGCTTCCTTGGGAAACTTGACCCCAGGGTCCTGACCAGGGGCCTTGAGGTCGAGGAGAGTGGTGAGGCACCTGCCCTTGGCTTTAGCTCCCAGAGAAGCCCCAAGACGACGTCGAAACTGCTGTCGAAAACACCCAAACGCGCCATAGATCTGGTGGCCGTAAGAGCCTGCAGCCTGGGCCCCAGCCTTCTCTAGGCGCCCAGTGATAAGATATTGCCTCGAAGCTTGAGCGAAACGTCGAATCTTGGCGTTCATACCTGTAGCTTTGGTCTGACGTTTATACCGAACATGTCGCGCGGGCCGACCGTTGCCAAGGTCCACGCCAAGGTACGGGGCCTGTCGCACTGCAGATACACTGATGCCTACTCGCTGAAGTTGCCGTGAAACAGCCCGTCCGTCGGCGGGCTTGGAGCACATCAGCACACTCTTGGGCGACGCCTTGAGACCTACCTCGCCGAGCTTGTTGCATGTGTCTCGAAGAACTTGAAACAACTTAGCCCGAACAACACGTCGAGACCCAAGGACTCGCTGGGATAAGTCATCAATCCAGATACGCATCGACATTCCAACGCGGGCAACCGAGATCTGCTGCATAATGTAATATACCATGCAACGAGCAAAGCGGGTGCCTCCTCGCAAACCTTGCACAATACTCTGTGAAGGTTGGAAAGCAAGAGAGAAACTACCTTCTTGGCCATGGGTCCTGGGGCAGATACAGTTCTGCAATTCAAGGGCCAAAACCGTCGGGGGGAAGTTCAACCTCAACGCGGTACGAACCAAAACCGCCCATCCGATAGAATCGTAAAATCCTTCCACATCAAGGAGCCCGTGGCCGTTATCTGTGCCGAGCTTGAAATATGCTTCGTCGTGAAGCGCTCGGAGGAATGCTTCGCGGAGTGCGGAGTTGCCTCGGACGGCCGCGCCCCACGCAGGCTCCGCCGATGAAGACCAGGAGCGAACATCTTCTTCCCGAGCTAATGACCACACTCTAGTGAGCATGGTCAGAAGCCCGATCACCCTGCCCCCCCCTGACTTCTTCGGCAGAAGCCGACCTAGAACCATCAGCACCTGCCAAGGCCACGTCATCTGGGCCTCGCAGGCCTCGAAAAGGGACGCGAGCTGCTCTATCCCCTCGTCGGGGAGACGCTGGATATCCACTGGTGACATCTGATCGATACCTTGACCAGCTCGAGCCTTCATGAGCGTCGTAGCTCGGAGGACTCGCTCTGGTGTTAAAGGCAGCAGCTGTTCATCATCACGAGCAGCCTGGACCTCAGCAAAAAGGGCGGAGACCTCGCAGAGATTCACTTCAGACGGGCTCCAAAGCTTATGCCATTTCTGGACTTTGAGATCAACGAGGTCCCGAGGGTGAAAAATAACCTCCCCCTCCGAGGACAGCTCAAACGGAGGGGGGGGGGGGTTTGCAGAGGGATTTGTGAAGGACCCCCACAGCGGGAGCCGTAAGGACCCAGGACCGAAACTCTTCCAGGGATGATTGGAGCTCCCTCCGCCTGGCACGACCTGCTACTCGCTTAGCAACTGCTGCAAGGTGAGAAATCTTATCCACTGGCACCTTGTCGATGCTCATGAGATAAGTCTGCCAGAGAGTCCATGCTCCGTCCGTGGGGTCGAGGCTCGCAAGGGGAAGATGCACGCTGTCGGGAATGTCCTGTGCGAGATCCTTGCATGCACGCTCTAGTCGTGAACGCTGAAGCTGACCGTTGGACTTGGACAGGTGATGATGAAGATTATGCAATATTGTGTGCACACGACCCCACCAACACGCAACCATACCATGCAGTGGCTCCTGACGAACTTTGTCCAGAACATGCACCTGAGCCTCCTGGAAGATAGGTCCCTGGCCCCTGGTACGGCCCTCGGGAGAGATTCCATGATGATCCTGAATAGCTAATTCGACCGTGGAAACCCACTGCTCGTAAAGTGCACTAACACCCAGAATACGGTCACCACCTGCTGCAAAAGCCGCTGAGTCTCGAATGACTGGCCAGACACTAGCATAATCACGAACAGGGATGTAGCCGACCTCCTGTCTGGCAGCTGCCCACGTGTCGGAGCCGATGCGGAAGCCAGGAGGAGGGGGAAGGTCAGGGGGAGAGGCTGAAACCCTGGGGTTGCTATCCTCCTGATCGTCAGCACTTACGGGGGCTGGGGCTACTTGATTATCATTCACGGACAGATCATCAGCAGCTTCGCCAATAGCGGGGAAGAGATCATCATCGTCGCACGGGGCGCGAGCCCCAGGGGGAGGGCCAAGGAGGGAGGACAGAGACAGGGGAGCGCCAATACTCTCCTCGTCGCCGTCGCCGCTATCAGCTCCACCTGCGGCAGGCGCGCGAGAGCGCGCGGACTGACTGGCCAGCAAGCCCTGATCATGCAGGTCCCCATACAGCTCATCGTACTGCTCATCAGCGAAAGTCCTCGCTGCAAGGCGCCGCTCGTTGGCAGCCGCCTTGCTCTTGCTAGACTTGGACCCTGGGACGGGCAACGCTTTCGGCCGCGGGACCTGAGGGAGTTTCCGCGCCATCTTGAGCTCTCGACAAAGCAGCTGCTGGGCGGAGGAACGCAACCGAACCACCAGCCCGCAATGGGGCCTCCAGGGAACGTCGAGGCAGCCTTCGACTGAAATGATGTATGGAATGCTGGAAGCGCTGGCGACTATATAATCGATATGGGTGCCGCCGCCAAGCGCACACGTGTACGCGAGAGGTGCCTGAAAGACGACACCGCCTACTCGCTCCAAGAATCCAGCCCGTTGCAGAGCGGCTGCGGGCAAATTAAAATCACCAGCAACAATCCACGGGAGCCGACACTGGAGGAGCAGGGCTCCTAGGCGTGTGAATCTTTGCAAGTTTCTGCCTGAGAAGCCTTCCTCGCACAAGCCGTAAAACGTAACTAAGATGAACGAAAAACCCTTCTGGTGGCAAACTACTGCAGTAAAGCCGTCCAAGGCGCAGGAGCCGTCAGCTGCGAGGTCGCTCCAGACTGCCTGGGAGGAAGCAAGGGAATGCACCTGGAGATGCTTGCGAGCTAAAATCCATTCCCCACCTTCATTCGCACGAGCCTGGCCACTCTGAGTAGTGGCCCTGCCCGTGCCCCTGGCGGGGTTCGAGAAAAGCTTAAGATGTGCCTTGCTGGCCGAATCCAACCAAGGCTCTAGAGCGTCTGCCGACTCGATATGCGTCTCGCAGACTGCAAGATAACTAAAAGACTTCAGCCGCTCACCTGTGAGAAAGCCCCACGCCTTCTTGCCCATGGCTGTGACATTGGCAAAAAACAGACGCGTCTCAGATGGTGAAGCTGAAGCCGTCCCCGATGGAGGGGGCGAGCACGGCACAGTCTCCTGTGACTGCGACTGGGTGCTGGCCCCCTCGAGCCGCGGTCACGCAGATGCCGTGGCGGGCATGCCTTTGCCCGCGCCCTTGGCCGCTGCCGCCGCCGCCGCTGCCTCTGCTGCTGCCTTCTTGGCCTCGCTGATCTTCTGGGCTGCTGCCTTCAACTCCGCCTCGCTGACCGCGTTGGCCTCGGCGGCGCCGGTGGGCTCGGCTGCGGCGGGCGTGGCGGGCGCGGCGGGCGCCGTAGGCGCGGTGCCCGCCTGGGCGCCTCCGCCATTGCCGCCGCTGCCGCCCGCCTCTCCGCCGTCACCGCCGCCTGGGTGTACCTGCCCATCGCCTCGCCTCTTCTTGGCCATGCGGTTCTCGATCGCCTGCTGCACAGCCTTGAGCTCTGAGAGCCACTTCTTGACCTCGTCGGACTTCGTCGTGAGATCCGTCTTCGTCGCGGCCAGGTCCTTCTTCAGCTTCGCGAGGGTCTCCTTCTCGTGAGCCTCGCACTCGAGCGAGTCGACTGCGTCGAAGAAGGCCTCGTCCCACGACACAGTGAAGAGAGGGCCCTCCTCAGAGCCTGGGGCGCCAGCAGCCGCCGACTCGTCTAGCAAGCCGTCCTGCTTCGCCAGCACCTTCACCGCGATCCTCTTGGCCTGCTCGGCCCTGGCCAGGGTGAGCGCCGCCTCCTGCTCCCGCTCCTTGGCGCGCACGAGGACGCTCTCCGCCTTGATCAGGGCCGCCACCGCCTGGTCGTGCTTCACCCCCGCGTCACGAACTGCGGCTGAAGCCTTCTGCAATGACACCTCGGGGCTAACCTTGGAGGCCTCCTCGACCGCGGCCTGCTGGTGCTTGCTCACCTGCAGCTCGAGCAACTTGCGCATCCCTGGGTCGGTGGCGACGAGCAGCGCCTGCTTGTACGCCTCGAGCTCCGTGGACGGCGTTGCCCAGGCTGACGTCGTTGGCGTGCCGCCTCCGCCTGCACCAGGCCGAAGCGCAAGCTGGTTGTCATTGTCCCCCTTCTTCGGACTGGGGCGAAACAACTCGACCTGCTTGCCGCACTTGCACCAGCCTCCATGCTGCTGGATGACTACGTTCCATTCGCACTTACCACAATTCTTACACTTGGTCCAGAGAGAGGGATCATGGGAACTGGTGGCTACTGAAGCCGACGTCTTCTTCTTGCCCATCGCCCTCTTTGCCAACCTGACCTTGCGGCCACAAGATCGCAAGACAGGTGCCCCTCAAGCACCACGTGGAGGTGAGGCGAATCACCCCGAGAAACTGCAAAATGCGCTCGGGGCGAAATGGCTTGAGGAGGAGGAGGAGGAGGAGGAGGAGGAGGAGGAGGAGGAGGAGGAGGAGGTGGAGGGGGAGGGGGAGGGGGAGGAGGAGGGGGAGGAGGGGGAGGAGGAGGGGGAGGAGGGGGAGGAGGAGGGGAGAGGAGGAGGAGGGGGAGGAGGAGGAGGAGGAGGGTGTTCTTTCCCCTCCTGGCCCTCCCCCCCTCGGCGCGACTGGCCAGCTCCTGCAGCTCGGCGAGCGGCAGCCCCTCGATGCCCTTCAGGAAGGGGAGCTCGGCGTCGTCCACCTCTCGGCCACACTCGGGGGTGACACTACACTGAAGGGGCCCTGGGACACACAAATAAATACACACAAATAAAATTGTTCCCCATATTTTCGCATATTTTCTTGGATTTTGTCTTCCCGCCCAATTCCCATATTTTCCCATATTTTCCTAAACATCGACGAATAATTGTGTCTGTGTTTTTTCCCCTCCTGATACACGTCGGTCGGAAGAAGTAGGTAAAAACATGAAGTAGGAAGGCGGGTAACGTGGATTGGGTCCAGATCCCCCCAGAGAATCACAAAACACAACAACAGCATGTATATTCTTGAAGTGGGAAGGCGCTTGAAATAGATTGGGATCTGGAACTCCAGAAATACCTACTTTCGACGACCGGCGCGTAGGCTTAGGTCGGGCGTGTCCCCCTACAGGGGGATTCTCGACGGAAAAAAAAAGTACACCAAACATAATCAAAAAATAGCCAGGGGACTATTTTTGGGGTATTTGTTTCCTTTTTTGGGGCATCTTTGGGGTATTTTTTTGTTTTTCGTCGACGATCCCCCTGTAGGGGGACACGCCCGACTGAACCCTAGGCAGGAGTGTCCTTTTTCTGCGCGGCTCAGCGGAGGCCGCGGGTGACCAAACCCAGGCGCGCGCGCCACTGCTGCCGCTTCGCGTTCGGCGATCGAGGGACCCCATTCTGGCCATCGCTCGGACGTCCACTCCCTGTGCTTTTTTTCGGTTTCGTGCATGGTTTTTTCGCCGAATGATCAAGGATGCTCCTCGATGGTCCTCGCCGAAAGAAAAATGCACACGTCCGAGCGATGCCAAGCATTGGGCCCGCACCAAAGGTCACTCCCTCGAAAGGTCGCTCTTACGTGTAATTATACAGGAAGAAAAACGGCATAAACAGAAACTTTCGACAGTCCGCGCGGATTTCTTGGATGTGCGCCAGACCCCCCTCCCTGGCGCGCCGAGCGCGTCAGGGGTGGCGCCGCAGGCGCCGCCAGGGGGGCCCAGCGCGGATCCAGGAAATCCGCGCGGAGCGCCAACAATCTATGCCCAAATCAGTGCTTGCACTGAAGGGGTCCGAGCGGAGATTGAAAGATCTCGGTGGGCGGCCGGTTCCCGGTTCACGGGATCCGGGTTGCTGGCTCTGGACCGATTTCGGCGGGCGGCGTGGTTCCCCAGGTTTCTGGGTTCTTGGCCGATCTCCTTCTCGATCGGTCTCACCATCGATCTCACTACCCTCCTCTCTATTGATCTCACAATCGATCCCACTATAGATCGCACGAGCGATCTCACGATCGATCTCACTGAATCGACTTCACGATCAGTCTCACGATCGGCCTTGCTATCGTCCTTACAATCGATCCCACTATCGGTCCCACTTTCGATCTCACAATCGAACTCAATGCCCATATCACGAATTTCCTAACCATCCACTGATTGGGTCTTTCTCTGGTGTGATGTTTATGTACCTATTTTAATTCAAGGAGGAAGAGGAGGATGAGGAGGAGAAGGAGGAGGATGAGGAGGAGTCCGTCCTCGTCCTGGCCTCGCCTTGCCTTCCCGAGGCGGCTCCCTCCGCCTGCTCCTCCTCCTCCTCCGCCTCCTCCTCCTCCGCCTCCTCCTCCTCCGTAATTCGAATGTTGTCGGACCTTCTTCATCTCGGCGGCCACCTCCTCCGCCATGCGGCCGGCCTCCGCCACGAAGGCCGCCGCCGCGGCGCGCTCGCGGGGCTCCCTGGCCCGCTCCGCGGCGGCGTTCAGTGACCCCAGGAGCCTCCTGCTGCGCTCCTCTCGGGGGGGGCGGGGGCATGAGAAACCCAGGGTTCGGTCGGGCATGTCCCCCTACAGGCGGCTTCAGGGCGAAACATATAACATAGCCAACAGATGCTCGAGGAGAGTCAACAAGTGACAGCAGCCTCGTCCCCAGACACTTTTCCCAACCATCCTGTGGTGTTGGGTCCTCGTTTTGAAGAGACGGTCCCCGCGTTCCTCCTCCTCCTCCTCCTCCTCCTCCTCCTCCTCTCCTCCTCCTCTCCTCCTCCTCTCCTCCTCCTCTCCTCCTCCTCCCCCTCCTCCTCCCTCCTCCCCCTCCTCCCTGCGTCTCACCCACCCAACACAGCGTTTCGTGGCCCCACAGGGAGCTCCACCGGAGGTTCCAGGTCTACCGTCCGCATGCGTCCCCTCCACCCAGTACAGCGTTTCGTGGCCGTCCTCCCCCTCCTCCCTGCGTTGCACCCACCCAGTACAGCGCTTCGTGGCCCCATAGGGAGCTCCACCGGAGGTTCCAGGTCTACCGTCCGCATGCGTCCCTTCTACCCAGCAGTACAGCGTTTCGTGGCCCTCCTCCCCCTCCTCCTGGCGTTTCACCCACCCAGTACAGCGTTTCGTGGCCCCACAGGGAGCTCCACCGGAGGTTCCAGGTCTACCGTCCGCATGCGTCCCTTCTACCCAGTACAGCGTTTCGTGGCCCTCCTCCCCCTCCTCCCTGCGTTTCACCCACCCAGTACAGCGTTTCGTGGCCCCATAGGGAGCTCCACCGAAAGTTCCAAGTCTACCGTCCGCATGCGTCCCCTCCACCCAATATAGCGTTTCGTGGACCTCCTCCCCAAACTTCTTGCGTTTCGCCCACCCAGTACAGCGTTTCGTGGCCCCATAGGGAACTCCACCGAAGGTCCCACTGGCACCGCCCGCGTGCGCCGGCCACCGCCCAGCACAGCCCTTGCTCCCTGCGTTTCACCCACCCAATACAGCGCTTCGTGGCCCCATAGGGAGCTCCACCGAAGGTCCCAGTGGCACCGCCCGCATGCGTCAGCCACCACCCGGCACAGCCCTTGCTCCCCGCGTTTCACCCACCCAGTACAACGTTTCGTGGCCCCATAGGGGGCTCCAGCGAAGGACACAGTGGCATCGCCCGCATGCGTCCGCCACCACCCAGCACAGCCCTTGCTCCCTGCGTTTCGCCCACCCAGTGCAGCGTTCCGTGGCCCCATAGGGAGCTCCACCGAAGGTCTCAGTGGCACCGCCCGCATGCGTCAGCCACCACCCAGCACAGCCCTTGCTCCCTGCGTTTCGCCCACCCAGTACAGCGCTTCGTGGCCCCATAGGGAGCTCCACCGAAGAAGATATTCGTACTTGCGGTGCTCACAACTGCATATGGTTGGGTCCTTCGCCAGGCTTATTATCATTGTTGTTTTAAGGATAATGTTTGAAGTTTTTCCCAACCAACCTGTGTTGTTGGGTCCCCGTTTTGAGGAGACGTCGCCCCGCGTTCTCCTCCCCCTCCTACCTCCTCCATCACCATCACCATCACCATCACCATCACCATCACCATCACCATCACCATCACCATCACCATCACCATCACCATCACCATCACCATCACCATCATCATCATCATCATCATCATCATCATCATCATCATCATCATCAACATCACCCGTTTCAGCATACCGCATACCCCTCACACGTTTCATGGCCCCAGAGGGAGCCCCACCGAAGGTCCCAGTGCTACCGTCCGCATGCGTCCCCCCCCACCCAGTACAGCGCTTCGTGGCCCCATAGGAAGCCCCACCGAAGGTCCCAGTGCTACCGTCCGCATGCGTCCCCCCCACCCAGTACAACGCTTCGTGGCCCCATAGGGAGCCCCACCGAAGGTCCCAGTGTCCCCCCCACCCAGTACAGCGCTTCGTGGCCCCATAGGGAGCCCCACCGAAGGTCCCAGTGCTACCGTCCGCATGCGTCCACCACGCCCAGTACAGCGTTTCGTGGCCCCACGGGGAACCCCATCGAAGGTCCCAGTGTTACCGTCTGCATGCGTCCCCCCCACCCAGTACAGCGTTTCGTGGCCCTTAGGGAGCCCCACCGAAGGGTCCCAGTGGATACCTTGCATGCGCCCCCCCCCCCCCCCCTGTACAACGTTTCGTGGCCCCATAGAGAGCCCGACCGAAACCCCTGGGACTGTCCGCATGCGTCCCCGAAGCCTAATTTGGCATTTTCACCCCAACAAGTACGGCGTTCCGTGACCCCATAGAGAGCCCCACTGAAGCTCCGCATGCGTCCCTGAAACACAATATTGGTATTTTCGCACCACCCTCTACGGCGTTTCGTGACCCCGTAGAGAGCTCCACCGAAGCCCCCAGTGGGACCGTCCGCATGCGTCTTGGAAGCCCAATTCGGCATTTTCGCCCGCCCAGTACAACGCTTCGTGGCCCCATAGGGAGCTCCGCCGAAGCCCCCAGTGGGACCGTCCGCATGCGTCCCGGAAACCAAATTTGGCACACCACTTGTACGTTTCGTGGCCCCATAAGGGGCTCCACCGAAGCCACCACTGGGACCGCCCGCATGCGTCCCACACACCAGGTTTTGCATTTTCTCCCCACCCAGTACGGCGTTTCGTGGCCCCATAGGGAGTTCGCCCGACGGCCCCAGTTCTACCGCCCGCGTACGTTCCCCCCCACCCAGTGCACCGCTTCGTGGCCCCATAGGGAGCTCCACCGAAGCCCCCAGTGGGACCGTCCGCATGCGTCCTGGAAACCAATGTGGCGCACCCCTCATACGTTTCGTGGCCCCATAAAGGGGACCGAAGCCACCAGTGGGACGCCCGCATGCGTCCCACACACCAGATTTGGCATTTTCATCCCACCCAGTACGGCGTTTCGTGGCCCCGTAGGGAATTCGCCCGACGGCCCCAGTTCTACCGCCCGCATGAATTCCCCCCCGCCCAGTGCAGCGCTTCGTGGCCCCATAGGGAGCTCCACCGAAGAAAATATTCACAATTGCGGTACCCACAACTGCATATGGTTGGGTCCGTCGCCAGGATAATATATACATTTATATATATATATGTATATGTATATATATATATATATATATATATATATGTGTGTGTGTGATTGTTGTTGTTTCATTATTGTATATCATTGTTTTTAGAGGGAAGCAACAATAATAATACTAATAATAATAACATTAAAGATAATAATGATAATAATAATAATGATAATAACAACAACAATACCAATGATAACAACACCAATCACACTACAAACGAAACATTATCCTGGCGACGGACCCAACCATATGCAGTTGTGGGTACCGCAATTCTGAATATTTTCTTCGGTGGAGCTCCCTATGGGGCCACGAAGCGCTGCACTGGGTGGGGGGGAGCGCATGCGGGCGGTAGAACTGGAGCCGTCGGGCGAAACCCCTATGGGGCCACGAAGCGCCGTACTGGGTGGGGAGAAAATGCAAAACCTGGCGTGTGGGACGCATGCGGGCTGTCCCAGTGGTGGCTTCGGTGGAGCTCCCTATGGGGCCACGAAACATATGAGGGGTGTGCCAAATTTGGCTTCCGGGACGCATGCGGACGGTCCCACTGGGGGCTTCGGCGGAGCTCCCTATGGGCCACGAAGCGTTGTACTTTGCGGGTGAAAATGCCGAATTGGGCTTCCGAAGCGCTTGCGGACGGTCCCACTGGGGCTTTCGGTGGAGCTCTCTACGGGGTCACGAAACGCCGTAGTGGGTGGTGTGAAAATACCAAAATTATGTTTCAGGGACGCATAAGGACAGTCCCACTGGGGGCTTCGGTGGGGCTCTCTGTGGGGCCACGAAACGCCGTACTGGGTGGGGTGAAAATGCCAAATTAGATTTCCGGGGCGCATGCGGACAGTCCCAGGGGCTTCGGTCGGGCTCTCTATGGGGCCACGAGGCGCTGTACAGGGGGGGGGGGACGCATGCAGACGGTAGCACTGGGACCTTCGGTGGCGCTCCCTATGTGGCCACGAAACACTGTACTGGGTGCGGGGGACGCATGCGAACGGTAGCGCTGGGACCGTCAGCGGGGCTCCCTGCCGGGCCACGGAACGCTGTACTGGGCGTGGGGGACGCATGCGGGCGGTAGCACTGGGACCTTCGGTGGGGCTCCCTATGGGGCCACGAAGCGCTGTACTGGGTGTGGGGGACGCATGCGAACGGTAGCACTGGGTGGGGCTCCGTATGGGGCCACGAAGCGCTGTACTGGGTGGGGGGGACGCATGCGGACTGTAGCGCTGGGACCTTCGGTGGGGCCCCCCTATGGGGCCACGAAGTGCTATACTGGGTGGGGGGGACGCA